GTGACTCAGAGGACTTGGGATGTCTCACTCTGTGACATCTCCAAACCTTACAGACTGTTCATCCTTGCTAAACTGTTGGCAGGGTGTTCCCATTGGAAATGTCACCTGCCAGGTCACTCCTGRTTGGCACAGTGACCCGCAGCTGGTYATGGTGGTGTCCCTGAGGGACACCCAGGGRTAGAGCCAGGCAGCTTGACTGGGTCAAGCTGATCCTCATCCAGCTACTCAAGAGCCARAGCTTGGCTCTGGTTTGGTTTTCACTCTCATCTTGCTCGTTCAGACCATGTTAGCTCATCASGAGTCAATTTTTTGGGAAGAGCCTGTGCAGCCCAGCTCACTGTAGCTCAACGAAGGTGCTGGGTTTGCTGTGACTCTGGCAAATGGCCCAAACCTGACTTGCTTGCTTGGGACAGCGGGTGCAGACAGGTTTGAACATATTGTGAAAGAGGGAGCTTTTGACACCTCTGCTTGAAAAGGGAGGAAGAAAGARGCAAATTCAGTTTTACAGTATACACAATTTTTAATAACAAAATGCTTCTGTACACTGCACTTGTTTTACTCCATTACTCACACCCCCTCCCACCAGAAGTTGGCTCTTGAAACATAATTCAAACACAACACATCTAGGACTCTCTGTAATCTTGGGTTGCTAAGCTGGTAGAATAGTTCACTTACTAGTGTTTTCATTAGTAAAAAGAAAAATGTGGYGGGTTTTTTGGCTTTTTACAAAGGAGTGGTTGGGGGATGGCAGACGTAGCTTTTTGGCACTTACACAATGGTGTACAACAGTGTTTCACCCCATCTAAGGCTTAATTACACCCCTCAGAGCTTCTCCTACCTTTCCCTAGATGCCTCTCAAAAGATTTTTACCCAAGATATGCAATGCTGAATTTCCAGTTGATTCTGAAATTATCTCTAAGCATCCTGCTAACGTGGTGCCTTAAAAAGCAAAGCCCAGCACCAATTTTAGCATCTGGGACATTTGCAGTGGAGGAAGGTGTGGGGAGGGAGGAGCTGCTGCCTTTGGTTTCTGTTGTTTCCTTGCTTGTTCCTTTTTCAGGGGGAGGAGAAATACTGTATCCCCCTCTGAACTTGTTTAATTTTCATGGAAAACTTCATAAGAAAGATGAAATTTAGCTTCTGGGTAGGTTTCATAGGTCTGAACAGATGGATTTTGATAGCTACACAGATCACAAAATTAAATCAACTTTATTTCCATTAAAGTAGTACAGAAATTATCTTAGACACATTAAAAATAAGTGTGCAGTGCAGATTTCTGGTTTAAAGCCACAGGATATTTCTGACTTTGCATGTTAGCAATAGTCCCYTGTCTTCTAAGGGGGTAATGGGACAGAAGCTCAGATGCTCAGATTTGCATGTGKCTGATCACTGAAAAATTGGATCATTTCTGCTTGGGGGAGAAGCAAACAAAACCAAACACTGATCAAGCAGCATTCATTATGGTTCCATCTGATACGGAACGGGAGCTCAGTGCAGAGGAACACTTCAGCTGGAGACTGAACACTCACCCATTTCACCCTTCATCGAGTCGTTCTTACTTGTGTGCATTTAAACACTGATCTAATGCAGAGCGACTAACTGGGAGCATTAATTCAGCCCTGTTCCGGGAGGATGACTCAAAATCTGAACTTGTGCTGCTGGGTTTCCATTTCACTGACACCAGGGTGGGGAGCAGGGGAAGCTGGCTGGGGATCAGCGAGGCTGGAGGAGATCTTTGGATGGGACAGGACCTCAAAAGCTGTACAAGAAATGATGTTCCTAAAAGACCCAAAACCTGAGGCTGTGCCTGGAGCTGTTGAAGTACTTGTAAGCGATGTAGGATCTGTACAAACTGAGGCTATGCAGCAGAGATGGTATTTGGGGAGGACACGTTAACAAGCTCCTGTCATCAGGCAGTGCTTGTACTGAAATACGATTAATTTAAACCAAATCATCGTGGTTCTTACTCCATCGACAAAATAAATCAGAGATTGCTGAGTAGCACAATTATTCCAGTCCCCTCCTTGCCTGGAAGAGTCACAAGCAATTGCGAATGGAAGACAGTAACTTCAAAATAAAAAATACTAACAGCCTCTGGCCGTGTCCTTGTGCAGAGTGATGGCTCTGCTGGCGCTTGCTGTCCCTCCGCAGGGAATTCAAGTTGACTTCACTGCTGCTATTTGACATTCTGCGAGTTTTATGATACCTGTTACCCTAAATGTAATGTTTGCAGAATTGCTTTGCTTATGCCTGGAACCTGGCAACAAATGGGTTTGGAAATACCAGACGTAAAGCATGGCATTTGGGGGATTGGCTGTGGATCACTGTGGAGTTCAGAGAGGGATGGGGCTGGCCTGGGCTGTGCCTGCTGGCCTCCTGTTTGCTGTCTGCCAGCCAAGCACTGCAGGACCAGTGGAAACTGGGAGTACTGGTGGGAGGGAGAAGTTGGGTCCCTGGGTGGGTTTGCTTGCAGAGGGACTGAAACAGTGCTTTAATGCAGGGGAAATCACCGTGAGTGGCAGGGATGGAGAAGAGGGTTAAATCCAGCATTTGCTGGAACATCTCTTTGCTCTTCTAGAGTGTGATTAAAAGCTAATAAAGATGGAGTGGGACCATCTCCCACTCACAGAGCTGGGGTGTTGGAAAAGCACCCCCCTGGAGGAACCTCAGCTCATCATCCAGCAGCCAGTTCTCGTTCCTGTGTGGAAGACTGATGTGGTATCCTTTGAGCTGTCTTACAGCAAGAGTTTCTGCAGGGAAGAGGTGGGATTGCTTCCTGCCAAGTGCAGCTGGGGCCATCAGAGTTCAGTGTTGACATCTGATGGGGGATGGCAGTGTAGCCAGCTCATTTGGCTGCCAGGATAATTAACGAGCTCAGTGATAGCTTTGTCTGTGCTGGTACTCTGCAGCTGTAGGTGGAAGTCATCCCGAAGTGCCTCCTCCCCAGGCACCCAGAGCCAACCTGTGCCAGCCRGTGCAGGGTGAGGGAGGGGCACAGGCTGGGAGAGTGGTGCCCACTCAGTGCCCACTCACTGCTCACTCACCTGCCCCTAGAGCAGCCTCCTGGGCCTGGGGAGAGCTGTGAGCCCCTAGTTATGGGAAGGAGCAAGGCAAGTCATCCTGCAGTCAGCTAAATATCCCTGGGTTTGCCTTTCTTAGCTTAATCTGGCCTTCTGCCTCACATGGGATTTCATCACATAGAATATTTGCTCTTTGTCCACCTACCCCACMGGATTTTTGTAGTCAGTTAAAAGCAACAATTAATTTTCCAGAACAGGTGTTAATGGATTCATCTTAGAATTAACAGTAACGAGAGTTCAAAGGTATCACTATGGAAACCCATTAGGCTTCACTAGGTCTCTTCCATTAAAGTACAGAGTCAAGGGAAGTAAACAAAATATTGGTTTTATAATAAGGGTACTGTATGTAAAAGTAAAACGATGCAAATTAATATCTTCAAAACCAGCAATTGAAAAACGTTTATGTAAAATCTTGACAGAAGTTACTTATCTTGCTATAATTGCCTTGGACAAATTCATCTCACAAGAAAACATCAAACTGTTGTATAATTGCACCCTAAATACCTCACTAAGTGGTAATATAGAGAGAAAAGCAGAGTGAAATAGCAAAGAGATTTTTATGCAGTGGTTTTTCTGCTTAAAAAGTTTGCAGGATAGTTTACTACATCACAATTAGCATACTGTAATTATGGATTTGGTCAAGGTATGGCAACACTGTGAGGAATTTTTTTCTTCATCGGGGTGTGCTGGTAATTGTTTAACACTGCAGCATTGAACACAACACATTTTTTAGTTATACATACATGTATATATATATATAAAATAATTTTCCATCCCTCTGAATCTTTCAGCTTTGGTTAGAATGTTTACAATATTTGAGTAAATGACTTAAAAATAGTGTAATCCTTAGCAGACCCCCCCGCCCCCCACCCTCGTGGCATCTGAGTACCACCATCACTGCATAGATCTGCAAATATTTACATATAATTCCATAATAGAATATAAATAGCAATATGGTACTTCTGGCTAAAGAAAACAAATTACCCCTTAGAATGAGGGGTGGGTGGGTGTGTATATATATTTATATATGATTTTTTAAAAAGTCATTCTAGTTTAGATTCTGTCCCATATCAARTAAGAAACAAAACATTTTTCAGTGAACTATTCTATAAACTAATTATATTATCCTAACTTATCAGAAGGAAGGGGTCTTTTTTTATCTTGAATTTTGGAAGAGGAGGACAAGTGAGAGCTTATATTACAGGGGCTAATTCTGTCTCCAGAGAAACCAGTGGAGTTAAGTGCATGAAAATAGCTTCCCAACGAGAGGAAGCCTCAGCTGGGGGGGCAGCAGGGGGACAAAGAGAGGCTTCTTCCTTCCTTCCTTTCTTCCTTCCCTCTTCTCCTTAACCTCGCTGTTGATATTTGCTTTTAATTAAGAGAACCTTGCATTAAGGGTATTTACACATGAAAAGGTGTTGAAATGCTGTTTGCTCATCGTCATTAAGTAATTAGCCTGAATTCATGAAAAGCATCATCAAGCGAAACCAGGGAGCGGAGTACTGAATGTACTTAATATTTCCAATCGATCCCGGTGTGCTGAGCCTCCCTGAAGAAGCTGCACTGCCGGTTTGGGGACACGCGGAGGGAGGGCTGTCCTGCTGCTGGGTGTGAGTGTGTGCCCATCCTGCCTGGGGCTGTGTGCCCATGTCTGTGTGCCCATCCTGCCTGGGGCTGTCTGTGTGCCCATCCTGCCTGGGGCTGTGTGTGTATCTGTGTGCCCATCCTGCCTGGGGCTGTGTG